GTCAGCTGTCTCAGGAGTCCCACGAGCCAACCAGGCTCGAAAGGACTCCTTCTTCAGCTTGACGGCATCCCTTACTTCCGGTGTCCACCACCGGGTTCGGTGATTGCCACCACGACAGGCACCAGAGACCTCACGGCCACAGCTCTGAACGGCCGCATGCTGCCAAGTCATTTATTATTATTTTTAGTCTATTATAGTTAGTCTGTTCAGGACTGAGACTTTTTGTTTAGAGAAGAAGCCCATCTAATACAGTACGTATTTTAGAGGGAAATGAGCTTCCGACTTTGACTGACTTTATTCTCACCTTCCGCCTTGTACCAATTGTAGTTTCCCTTTATGTGTATTCAATGAAATGTACACACACGGTAAGCTTCAATGTCCATGAAAGCTTCATCAAAATTAGAGCACATGGGAAGTATACCACACTTTATTCACCAAACATTTTTGACTGCCAGGGTGGTTCATCCCTGTGTATGAGGCTCTCCGTTTATCAGTCACAGACTGCAGATCATCTTAATCCCTGTCTCCATCAGATGTTTAAATATTTCCCTCTGTACCAGTGGTTGGTTGTCCTCCATCTCCAACAGGCCCTAATATCCCATTCTCTACCCAAGCCTGCATTTGTAAGTGTCCTAATCTGTCACCTTGTTTTACACAAATGTAGCTAATTTCTTCTGTTAAATTCTTGCTTTATAACTACAAATTAAATACATAATTACTGTTTAACTCAATACCAAATTTAGTGCATGGTAATGAGACTTGCTATCATGACACTTTGCACTTTTTTCAGTGTACACACTCTTTATGCTACTAGATGTGAAGAATAACAATATTTATTATGATTTTTACAGCACTGTATTAATCCACTCGTGTTACTGTAAACAATGAGAGTCTGCTAACAAAGACATGACAAACAAGTTGATTTAAGAGGAATATTTATTGATCTTCATCCATTTCCCATCTGTTATCTCAGGGGTTTTCAGTTTAATAAAATGTTTCTACCAGAACTTTGTGAATAACATAAAGCAGAGTGATGAAATTTCAGAGACGCTCCACATAATTTGCGGGGAACATTCCGTAGTGTCCGTCAGGTCCGTAACCTCTCCACCAGCCTTCATCCACCATGTCTATCCCGGTTATAATGTCATCAGGGTCAAAGGTGATCTCAGTGTCGTCTGCTGCAGGGGGACAGGTGATGGTGCAGTGAATAACATAGATATATACAGTCACGTGCGTGTTTGTTTGTGTAAGCATGTTGTCATTCATCTGTTTTTATGCACATTGTCTACCTGCCCATGTGAAAACTGCAGAAATTTGAAAACAAACTGAATTTAGTAAAAGCCCGGGGTTTGCATGTGCCGTGCACTGTGCTGTGAGGAATAAATCTTTATTTACGGACCAACATCACTTTGACAGTAGCGGTTCCCAAGGGCCACCAACACTCACGCAACAACACAGCGATTAAAGAATGTCTCGACACTCCAGCTGTGATCTGGTGTATAAATGGAACAGCTGTTTTGACTGCTTTATGAATAGTGTTAAAAATATATTATTTTCACGTGAGCCTCCAGTTAAAGCTCGGTGAGCTGCATGTGATGCAGTGAGCAACCACTTAAACATCACTGGAGACAAAAACACCAGACATGCGTGAGGCGATGAGGAGGCTGTGACCTTCATCACACCAACACTTGATACTAACAGAAATGTCAGATTCCAGTCATGTCTTCCACCTGGTTTTCCATCGTTTCAGCTTTGACTGAAGTTCTAATCACCTCATGTTCCACCTGCTGTTTATCTCCATCACCCGGCTCAGATTCACACAGCAGGAGGAGGTGGAGACAAGCACTTGTTCCTCATCTTCTTTAGCTGATTTTCTGGCAAAGTCGCTTAAAATCTGTGATATATTTGAATGCAAATGACGTGTGCGTGTGTGTGTGTGTGTGTGTGTGTGCTCGTGCATGCATACCAGCCTGGTAGTCGTACAGAGCTCTGGCACAGATGTCCTGTCCACTGTCATCTGCTTCATGGTCTTCAGCCTTTTATTTAAGACAAATGATCAGAACAATTCACAGATTCGATCATGATAATTAAAGCCTGACATTTTCATACTTATTTAATTTACTCTGCTCTTGGTTGTACACGACAGAAGAGGTGACAGTAAAGTGAACTCCAGAAGCTGCTGTGACAGAGTGGACTCACTGTGGTGCTGTGCACATAAAGGTCTTCGTACAGGTTCACCTCCCTACTGACTCTTTCTGGCACATCATGCTGATGATCCTGAGCTGGAGGATGACATGACACTGAACTAATGCCACACAACACAATACTCAATCACAAGTAAGAACCCTGCACTCAAAATATTCTTTAAATACTTAAGTATCATCACGACAGTAAGAGTACTCACAGAAGAGAAATGGCCCATGTGTGTATCTAACTGTACACTGTTGTACTGTTCTATAGTACATCATTAGATAACGATTCTTCGTGCACTCGTGCTTTAGGAGTATTTTATTGTAGTTGGAGTAATTGTTTTGTTTTTTTTTCACTATTTTATAATAAAATCCCGGATTAGTCTCCTGGTTATTCTCTTCAGCAGTCAGTTTGTTGTTTGGTTTGTAAAAGACATTAGTAAGAAATGGCTGCAAATGTTTTGCTGTGTCCAACATTAAAATTATTCACTTTTATTATGATTTAATAAAAGGAAAAGCAGCAAATCCTTTAATCTGAGGAGCTGAAAAATTAAACAGTTCATCGGTTATCAAAACGGTCACAGATTAAGTTTTTAAAAACTGACTCAATACATTGATTAATGGAACAAAAGCTTTTTTATGGTGAATCATAAAACGACTACAGGCCAGTGGCACTCACCCCGGTCATTTTGAAGTGCTTTGAGAGAGTGGTGCTGGCCCACATTCAGAGCAGCGTACCAGGCACCCTGGACCCCCTGCAGTATGCCTACCAACCCAACAGGGCCACCTCAGCATTGTTACAAACACTGGCACCCCACAGGGATGTGTCCTCAGTCCCATCCTCTACACCCTGTTCACCCACGACTGTGTCGCCTCCCACAAAGACAACATCATCCTGAAGTTCACGGATGACACCGCAGTGATAGGTCACATCACTGGCGGGGACGAAGCAGCCTACAGGAGGGAGGTGGC